TACCAGATGCTTGAGATGAGGATGGTAGACCCCATAGGAATTAGAGGCTTCTATGAAAATTTCATTCTAATCCCTTCTAATGAGAAATTGAGCTAAAACTGAAGTAGGAGCTTTTATCCTTTCCAGCAGTCTTCATAGGTTGGTGACTTTAACTCCTCTAAATATTCTTATCTGTGTCCAGATTTGATTTGCCTTTGGATAGTAGTGTTTGGGTTTATATATTTTTTTAAACTTGTGGCAATAAACTACATGAACGGTGGTAAAATCAGATAAATTCTTCTTCTAATGTAATTGGATGTCCCTTTCCCTCTTGAATCAGTCTTCTGAAATGTATTTCATGCCACCTGGTTTACAAAGTAAATAGCAAAGTAGAAGGCAGCTACTTTCTCCATGTGTTCTCACTGGGGGTAGTCAAACTATGGTGATAGCCTAACTACTGTCTGTACGTACAGTCTGAGAGGCTCAGCAACTCCCCCACGCCTCTTTTCTCAAAATCCTGTTTGAGTATTTCAGGTTGGGCACCCAAAATCACTGATTTGCAAACTTCCATTGATTCTGTGGCTTCTCTAGTGAGCATCGGTTTAACCAGGATATAATTTTAGACTTGGATGCTATATTATGGATAAAACAGGTATTTTCAATACTTGTTTAGAACAGGCATGGATCGATAAGTGGGCTATATTTCTAGAATGCTTCAAAGTCTGTGGCATGTGATTAGATGCTCTTATTCCCAGGTGAAATCTTAGATTTAGTTGTTAGTAAGGAAGATATTTTTTAAAGCAAGTTTGTATGCTTTCTCTAATCCAGGTTTCCTAAGAGTGGATATCATTCTTTTGCATGCTGGTGATATATCCAGCTGTCATATGAAACAAAGACTGTAACTGGAGTGATAGGACCTTCTCAGTAAGAAGTAATTGTCTGATTTCAGTTACGTTGGTAGAAGTCTGGATTCTTCTCTATTCTCAAAGATATTACTTAGCATGATTCTGGATGTGGTTGGGACTGTAGCTGGAGCAGCTGGTTGTGTAATGTTAGACCATCTGGTGGGTTGGGTTTTGCTGGAGTCTGCCTCCTCCCCTGGGACTGGAAACACCCTTGTGTACCTCAATGTTATAAATGCAAAGGCAATTTCGGGTTATATAAAAGAGAAAATTTATTATCAAACAATAATAAATTCGAACAAAGAGAAAAAAAACCACAATAAAATAAGCAGCGCAGCGCTGGGTGGACAGGGTCTATACGCAAGGTATAGATGCTCCCAAATCCACGCCTGAGAGTCCTTTGGCCTGGGTTTTTATAGGAAGTTTGTGTCTCGAGGCCAAATTCTAAGCAGGCACCCTTTGCTAAGAGGTTCTTAATTGTTCGAAGAATAGATTTCCTGGCACCGGAGAATAGAGTCAATAGACGTTGGGCAGAGGCTCCTCATATGTAAAGAGGTCCAGGATGTCTTTTTGATATCATTTTGGTCCGGGCCATTAGGGTGGAGTGGTGGCACCCATCTTGGAGCCGATGGCTATCTCGGCTGGCTCCTCTTCCTTTGTCTAGTTTCTCCATTTCTCCAGCACAGGTGGGCAGGGCGGAGATGCTCGGGCTCGGCGATATCTCGTCCGGGCCTGTTCCTTTGTTTGTTCGATGGCCCGTGTCCTGCCCATTCTTTCGGGGCTGATGTGCCTGCTTGCGATTGTTATCTGGGTGCTTGGCTGCAATCTGTTGCTTTGGAAGAGAAATCCTGCCTCGACCTGGAGGAGGATTTCTCATTCCATATTTTCATCATTTACAATTGCATATACTTTATTTAAACCTTTTCTTTCGAATTTTTATTCATCCAATTCTTTATTACACTCAAGAAGTCAGATGCCAGAAAATATCTCTGTTTGCAAGAACTGTTTGACTGGGATAGGACTTTGACTGACACCAGTATCAGCTGCATGTACACGCTAGTTGGGAACCTAATGAGTGCAAGATCGGGACTTCAGAGGATCGAAGGGAGTTCGCTGAAGAGACTTCAAATCTCTGCCAAATAGACAGAACTTTTCAGATCTCTTTCTTCAGAGACTTAATTACAGTAATCATCCCTTGAGTTTATCCTAGAGCCCTACACAAAGAAAACCTGACCATGATTATTGAAAATGTAAGTGCTATTGGTCACCTACCATTTCCAGTTTCTGGATTATACTTTATTTTTGGCTAAACCCAGGCTGTCTCTGTACATAAAGAGCGTGTTCTTTATCCAGAAATTAAATACAATACATTGTAAAAAAGTATGTAATTTAAAATTTATTTTTAATTAATTAAATTAAACTGGACTGAATTAATTAATTTCAAGACTAGGGTATATCTTGGTACCATTAAAAACCAAGCTTATTAGGATAAATGTTTTTGATGACTTCACCACCGAAATGGTGCTTACAGTGCAGGCTTGGTGCATGAAGTCCTATAACCCTCTTGTGGAAGTATCTGGCTGATTTCCACCCCTAGTCCTCCTTATTTTCCCCATTTCTGAGTCTTTCCTATTGATTACAGTGTCCATTAGTTAAATATTTTTTCTCATCAGAGTCATGGCACTTTATGAAGCCTTGGATTCTATTGCACAAGATACTTCATGGATATGGTTTAAAAAAAGTCTCAATGGTTGCAAGGAAAATACAAGGAATGACCACAGTGGGCATCAATGTAAAATGTAAAATTTGTACTTCCAGTGGTGTCAAAGTCGTGGGTGTGGGTGGGTTTTTTTTGTTTTTTTTTTTTTTTCTGGTACAGGAGAGCTTTAGAAAGGGATTTGGAGGAGAAAAAAACACTTCTGTGTCCCACTTCTGTGTAGCATCTCAGAAGAGTAATGCAGGCAAACAATGTGGAGGAATAAGTCTGGAAAACTATATTTTTTTTTTCCTATTTGCTTCAGAAATGCATTTGTATGTAGTCATTTTTTCTACACTGGAAATTCATTTGTGGCTGAGTATTAATACAAATACTGTAGAAACCTGACACAGAGTCCTAGTGTAAGGCTGTGTATATATATTTTTTTTAAATGGTGGAAAAAAATAAAAAAGACAACCCCCAAAAACTTCCAAATGGTTCTTTCTGTTTTTTCTATTTTGAGTAAGGAAATGCAAGGAAATACAAAGATACTGTGAATGCTTTACAGGAACTTAGCAGTCCCAGCATATTTTAAGACTTTTTATACTACAACATCTGAAAAGATAAAGGTTAAATAATGGACAATGCTTAAGGTACCCCAGAAATGTGTGTATATCTTACTTAAACAAAAGCCTGGTTACAACTGAAGTTGTTTGAGAGGAAGATTAGTTGAGGCAAGCTCTGCTTGGACATCCCATTCATAATTTTCTAGCATTTAAAAGTAACTCAATTGATTTAACCTGTACTAAAATGAGCTTGTTTAAAATCAGTCTTGGCCTTAATTTTGGGAGCAACTAAAATTGTTATGGTGCCTGAGTAACCAGTACTGTTTCCTCTGTAGATCCTGTTGAAGAGATGGATATTTGTGTTGGTCATAAAGCTGGGAGACTAAAGTTTCCTAGGTTTTGGTGGTTGCCCTAAAATAAAGAAAGGTTTGTTATCCTCAATGGGAATTTTCATGCTTATATAAAGCTTTAGTATTTGTAATTTTTGCAATTATAGACCATTAAGAAAAGTGTTTAATCTGCTTTCCATCCTGTATTTTTCCAATCACTGTAAGATATCAAATAATAGATCTGTGTTCAAATGTTTTATTTGTGTGCCTTAAGAAATTACTGCATCTACCAGAAGATTTGCTTAACTGAAATAATGCTTTGTCCTTAGACAAAATATTTTGCTGGGTTTGGATCTAAATTTCTGGGAAAACTTTACAAACTAATGTGTTTTTCTCATCTTGTAAAATAATCACATGCTCCAAAACTGGGAGAAACACCTTTTCTGGATTTTTCTAATACTTTGGGTTCATGCTCACTTTCTAGTTATTGCTAGAAAAACATCATAATTACACTGACTATTTTTCATCCTTACTGCAAAAAAATTTAGAGAAGTACCTTACAAATAATGATAGCAATCCAGGTCTTCCCTTGGAGAAGTACCTTAGAAATAATGATGGTATTCCAGGTCTTCCCTAAAGGTTGCATTACTTTGCAACTGTTTGGTTTCTGAACAGAAGTTGAGCAAGATTTCAACATGCTTCAGCTGTTGGTATCCCTTCCACTTGGGCAGGAGGTTTGGTGCACACCTTGATACAGCTTGGATGCAGATGGAGGTGGGACAAAAAAAAAAATGGGAGGGCAGAAAACAAGCTATGGAAAAGAAGACCAAAGGTGAGGAGGCCAAAAGCACACTCAACTTGTTAATGAGCAAGTATCATAGTCACAAAGTGATTCTAATGGTGTCAGGATACAAACAGGCTGATATAATCATTGGGCAGCACAAAAGAGGGGTGAGGCTGTCCCTACCTCCCACCTCAGTGGTGAAGGCCAAGGGCCCTGTGCAGGTACTAGAAATCTTTACTGATGTGCTACCAAACCATTTCTACATGGAATTCTTTCAAGGTCCTCTGTTTTCAAAAAACTTCTGTATGGATTTGCCAGCATCACTTACAGACAAGAGTAAATTAGTAAATTAAATACACTGACAGTGTGGGAGTTCTTCTCAGTCAGATTAATGATTTCCTAGATTATTGATTTGACTTGTGTTTTTAACATAGACTTGCTTTTCCTGATAGACATGCTATTCCTCTCCTTCTATAAGCTGCTAATGCTATTGGACTTTTGTTAGAGACAAGTAAACTTCAGAGTAGAGATGGACTAAAGATGGAGCATATCATGCATCACACCCTCTCTGATATGTTGTTTAGGGTGTAAAATTTATACTGGATCTAAACTCACTGTGACTGTGTGGCTCTGGATGCTTGACTATGCAGCCATAGGTGTATGGATTTCCTGTTTTCAGTAAGGCATGGAGCACACAGGTATTATTGAGAAATGAATTGTTAATATTTTTGATTTTTTTTTCAGTAAATCAGCTGTGGTATCTGTGGAACACCAAGAGCCATAGCATGTAATTTTAGAAATCTGCAGGAGTCTCCAGACGTTTCCAAATGCCAACAGTCTCCAGCATTTGCAACCCTGCTTGAATCAGAAACAATAGAAGAGCTGTGCTTGCAACTTTGCCCATTTATTTTTTTTTTCTTGCTGGTGGGATACTGTAGATTTTAGTAGTAATGACTTTCATATGAAATAACATTTAAATAATTATAAGAAATTATTTGCAGAAACTGTCTAAAGCTGTAAAGTTAAACCAACAAATGCATTTAGATAAAAACCACTTGTGTTCTATCAAAGGAATTGTCTTTTTCACAACATACTTGCAGATGACAATTCTGTAATATACAAAAAAACAGCCATTGAAAAAGCTGAGGGCAATCCCTTCTGCAAAGGCTAATTCTAACATAAGATGTGAGGAATGGGTATTTTCTACATGGGGCTTCAGAGGGAATACTTAAACATTTATGTGACCTTCTGGGACACCTGGCACAGGTTTTTACTTGTGAGCAAGAGGCATCGACAAAGAATGCTTATAAAGGCCAGAAAAACCCAAACCCACCTTTTATTCACTCAAGATCATTCACATCAAAGGAACCCATCGTTTCTTTCATGCAAATACTGTGGGGATTGCTTCACCCAGGACTGGAAAGCAGCCAGGCTGCATAGCATGACAGCTACTCAGCAGTCCACAGCAAAGCTATACACCACGAAGGAGCAGGAATGGATTGCTGGTTTTAAATCTGATACACATTTGCAGCAAATGTTCAGAAAGCATTTTATTTTCTGCGTTTTGACCATATCTTCTCTAATGTACTGTTTCATGAGCCTTATGGTATAGCCTCACATCTTCACTTTTTTCCCCTCTATAAAGGATTAAAGTAGTATGTATCTACATAATTAAATGGTCTTACAAAACTGTGTGCCTACTCCATCTCTTAATAACTTCAAAATGGCATCCTTTCCTTTGCAACCACTATTGGAAATATGTTTGTTGTGTCCAAAAGCAGCCAAGGTTTTTCTTGGTTTTGGTGTTTTCTCACAACATCTCTAGCACCTCTTAATTTTTTTGTCACGTGTGACTTTTCAAGCCTGCACATTGAGGAAAATTACTGAATTCTTCCAACCTGAAGTCTCTTAATGCAGCCTGCTTAATTTTCAAACACTTGAAATCAAACCTTGTAACTCATTGTTAATTTCAACATAATGATTCCTAGAATTAAAAATTCTACTGCTGAAAGTATTAATTTTTCCTCAAGCATTTTCCAGCTGGCTTGAGGCAATGGATATTCTGGCTTTCCAAATAGAATAATCTCAATTCCTAGGGGGTTCAGGTCCCACCACGCACCACATGCAGATACAGAAGCATTAAGTGTTCTCCATAGAAGATCTTTCCACTGAGCATTATTGAGCAAACCTGAACTTAGCAAAGGGGGTAGCTACACCATTTATATCTTATATAAGAAAAAGTGAGCAAGGTCTAAGGAATTAACTGACATGAGAATATATGCAGTCTCATTCTTTCCTATTAGGAAGAAAACTCTCTTTCAGATGAGGAGTTATTTAATCCTGTACTTGCCTCCAGAACCTGAAGTTACATCATCTCAGTTTATTTTTAGAATACCATTTTTAAATATCAAACATGATCCCTGCTACAGAGTTGCTTTGATGTGTATTTAAAAACTTGAGTACAACAAATAAAAATACCCCAAACAATGTCCTACAGGACAAAGCAGATGCAAAGACTTCTTTCCAAAGAAATGTCAAAATGCATGTGGCATCCCCTTCATAGTGAGGTGTCTGCTTGCTTCGTATCTTTTGAATATCAGCATGCTTACAGAACACAGAGGGAGTAATGTACATTGTTGTCCAGAGATTTTAGAGACTATAAATGTAGCAAGACTTTTTGGGATTTTTTTGGGAGGGTATTTGGATAATGTTCTCTTTAGAAATACTGCCTTTAGATTACAGTAAAATCAGGTGGTCAAGATTTCCTTTTTGAGTTGTATGCAAGGAAACATGCATGACAACATAATCTGAATGTGTTGAATATGTACTTCTTGTAGCAAATTTTTTCACTAATTGGATGTACAGAACTGTTTCAGTTATGGCATGTACTCTCTATCACTTCATGAGGCACTTGGATTTATTTTTATTTTCCAGAACTGTTCTTAGTTATGCTCTGTACATGTAAAAATAACTTCTAAAAAGTGTCTCAATTATTTTGGAATACAGCTGTATTAAGTCGAGTCTATATCTTGTGTTTGCTATCACCTTTTTTTAAAAGAAGCCAAACATTAAAGCCTTTGATTTTAGCCATGAAATTTTCATAGTGGATAGATGTAGAATTATGGGGCAATAGGAAGGATTAGTCCTGCAAGGCAGCACAAGACTTAGTTGTGGAGTTCTGTGTCATGGGACTATACAAGGGATGTTCTGAGAGAGATTTGGTATATCAATAGAAGTTAGAAACTTGGGTAACTATTGGATGCACTGGCTAGAATGAAAGGTTATGTACTTCTGAAAACATTTAAGGGACGGGGATATGTGGGATAAAGGTTACTCTCTTCAACATTTTTTAAAATCATATATTTTTGACTTGGTCATGCACTTCACTATTACCCCTGCTAAGCTTTTATTTGATTTGGTCTAGCTGCTCTTAGTTTCTCACGTTTGTATCAGTATGCTTATAAGTGACTTGGATACAGTTATTTACTAGTGCTGGCTCCAGAGATGACTGAAGCCACAAAGGTCAGATTTTGCTTCTCTTTTGTTGTCATTATAACAAGAGATTATAAAACATACGGTATATTTGTGAGCCCCAGGTAAACTTAAATCTTAACTGGTGATATGTTAGAGAAACACTCTGAAAATTAGGAAAAATCTCACAAAAAGCAGAAGAGCAAAATACTCAATAGATGTCCAAAATATGTATTTAGAACTGTAACTCACCCTAAATCTTTACAGGCTTATGCAGTAATGGTCTTGATTTGCTTATGAAGGAGGATCACAATGCTGCTTTTTCAGTGATGGGTGCTGTATTATCTGATCCTAAAGATAAAACTGAGTGTGTGACCAGCTAGAGATGGTGATAAATTGTTTAGCTGAAACTCTTGTTAAGTTTGCTTTGAAACACACTGTGTTTTGAGGAGAAATTTCTTCAGAGCTGTATTGTCTTCTGAGGCTAGAAACCATTTATGTTTGGATGTTTAGCCTCTCGCCTATTTCTTGAGAGAGCAGTTGTTAGAGGGTTCTATTCTGCAAAAAAGGATGGCAGAACAAAGTTTTTGCAACCTGTCAGAGAAAGAATGGATATGCTAGAGGTACACTTGACATCTCTACTCACACCTTGCAAGGGTGAAAAAGGATCTGGACAATACTGATTTGCAGTCACTTCTGAGCTTTTGTCAAGGTTGCCGCAGCATTGTGGTTTGAGGAAACCAGAAGGAAATTCCTCCCATGCCAGCAATGGAAACACAGTAGATATTCCTACTCAGCTGTGGCTCGTGGTTTATGTCTCTTTTATCTTGTTCTTGCCAGAACTGGTCACTTTTCTGGATTTTGGAGGGAAGAACAATACTGGTAATAGCTAAGAGGGAGATTTTAACAGCACACTTCCATCTTTACTGTTGGCTGTCCGTGGTACTCTCATTACTAACAAAGTCAGTCACGTGTTGCATTCATTTCCTCTCCTCCTCCTGCCCACTACTGCATGTATAATGACTGAAAACAAAATGTTTTAGAAAGTATTGAACTAGTATGTGAGATTTTTTTTTTCCCAAGTTGTTTTGCTTGGTTTTCTTCTCCCCTAATTTCCTTTGACTCTCTGTCTCTTATGTCTTTGGTAGGGAGCTCATTAGGTTGCATCCCTTATAGACAATTTTGGTCATGTGCAGTTCAAAGCCGTTGTGCAGCTGAGAATGTGTTTCCTTGTAGAAAACTTTCTGTTGCAAATGGCTTCTCATGAGAGACTTGCTAGTCTAATTTTCCAGAAATTTTTTCTTGTGAAAAGCTAATTTAGAGGGTTGATATTTTAAATTTTTTTTTGCCATTATGAATTCTAAGTTAAGTCAAGTCATTGCCTTTGAAAAACTAGCAGCACACTTCTTATGTGCAGCTGTTTAGTAGCTTCTTATGTGCAGCTGTTTAGTAGATCAGAGATTTAGTGCAGAGATACAGGTAATGAAAGAATATTATGCTCCAGGCAGATTGTGCTAACTGAGCACTGCTCTTTACAAACACTACTGGACTATACAGGCCAACTCTATCAGCCTGTGTTCAAAGCCTGTAGGTTTGGAGAGCTGGACTGTGTTCAGGGCTCTGTGTCATCCCAATTGATGGACATAGATTGGCATTATATATTAGGCTTGATTCCTGGGATATATTTGGCTTATTTAACAATGCTATCTTTAGAATATCATCAGCATGCTAATCCTCATTAGTTGTATGAATGGCATATCTTGGTGTCATTTAACTAGATGAATTGGTTCTGCTGGCCTATGCTACTCTACGGGGTTGTTTTTTTTTAAGCTCATGTAGTAGCCGTTTAAAGTATATTAAACATAAGAATTTTTCTTTTTATTTTCATATTCTTGTTTTTAAACCTGTGTTGTTATGAAAAGGGTGAAATGTTTGATGGCTTTTTTTGTCACAACTTTCAATCTGTTCATTTACTACCTCTGCATTTATCTCTCAACATGCCTCTGTGACTTCTGTTGTGACAAAATATTATGTAACTATGGGATTAGTTTGATGTGTTAGGCTATAAGGAAAAGAAGGAAACATAATTTCTGCTGTTTATCAAGGTTATCATTACAATTTGCAATATGGCTTGGGTAAAATATGTCAGAGAAGTATCTTATACTGCTGGTGGTTGAACTCTTCAGGAACTTGAGGATGGGCATTGTGGCCTAGATGAAAGCCACAATGGGGACTCTGATGCCTCTGAGCCCATTGAGCTGCAAACAGGCAGGATCATAAGTAACAGTATAAATATTAAATGCACCCTGCCTGCTTTCTCAGCAACTGTACCTTGAGCTCATACCATGGTCTTCTTTGCTAGTAATTTTCTAGTAATTTGTCCAGCTCAGCTCACAATCTCACTGTTCAACTGATGAATGTTCTAAAAGTGTCCCCACATCTTTCTAAATAATCATAATGAGTATAAAGCTTGTTTCGAAGTAGAATCGTTATTTTGTCACTTTGCGATTTAGTG